CCATATTACGTGAGATTTAATCATCTTTTTAATAAAACTAGATACTTTTGTTTATATTAAAAATTTTACTTATTTTTTTATTTTTTTCTTATATGTTATATTTTAAATTTTTTAATATTTTTAGGGTGAAGTACACAAATGGTCCCTCGACTATAGGATGTTGCTTTGTTGAATCCTTCGACTATTACAAGTTACAAAATGATCATCTGACTATTTATTATATTCTAAATTCGTCATTTTTTGTTAAAAGATTGACAACAAACATAGTTGAATGTTAATTTATTGTCTAAGATGTGATAGCCGTTTGAGATTCTAGGACCATATTTTATCATATCTCAAACAATATTTTAACATCCAACTCAAACTGTCGTCAATTTTTTTTAAAGAAAATGACAAATTTGGAACATAATGAATAGTTAACTGACCATTTTGTAACTTTTAATAGTTAGTAGACTCAATAAAGCAACACCCTATAATCAAGAGATCATTTTATAACTTTTGATAGTTTGGAGACTCAACAAAATAACACACTTTAATAGGGTGCTTAAAGAGTTTAGTAGCTCGAACTCGACTCGATCAAAATTCGGTAAAAGCTCGACTCGAGTTGACACAAATGGTCCCTCGACTATAGGATGTTGCTTTGTTGAATCTCTCGACTGTTAAAAGTTATAAAATGATCCCTCTGACTTGGGTTGACACAAATGGTCCCTCTGACTATTCATTATGTTCCAAATTTGTCATTTCTCGTTAAAAGTTTGACGACAACCAATGTTAATTTGTTGTCTAAAATGTCATAGCCGTTTGAGATTATGGGACCAGGTTTTATCATATCTCAAACAATAGATTAACATCCAACTCAAATTGTTGCCAATTTTTTTTAAAAGAAAATTATAAATTTGGAAAATAATGAATAGTTAACTAGCAATTTTGTAACTTTTAATAGTCATTAAACTCAATAAAGCAACATCCTATAATCAGGAGATCATTTTATAACTTTTGATAGTTTGGAGACTCAACAAAATAACACACTTTAGTAGGGTGCTTACAAAGTATAGTAGCTCGAACTCGACTCGAAAAAAATTCAGTAAAAGCTTGACTCGGGTTAACTCAATTCGAAATTGAGCTCGACTAGAGACCGTAACGAGCTGAGTCGAGTAAAGTCCAACTCGACTCGATAAGTTCGCGAGCAACTTGTTAAATTTTTATGATTTTTAAGTCGTTATCGTAAAAAAATTATTTAATTTTAAAAATTATTAATTTACTAATAGATAATAAAAAAACGATAAATTACTAATTTATTATTTTTAATAACTAATTAAAAATATTAAATTATTAATTAATAATTATTATTTTACTGCATAAAAATCATATCCTAATTATTATTTTAATGTATTTATAGATTGTTATTTTGGTGTTTTGACTTTGAATTTGTTTCATATACTCTTTTGATAATTTGTTTTGTTAAATTTATTAATTTATGTTTATATTAAGTTCTATATAATATTAGTAGATTTTACTTATAGTTAAAAAATAAAATAAAAATTTTTGTGAGCTTAACAAGCAACGAGTGGAGCAACAAATTAACGAGAACGGGTCGAGCAAAATTTTAACAAGTAATGAGTCGAACAAAAAATATTCTTAACAAGTACGAGTTTAACAAAATTTTAACGAACTTAACAAGCAATGAGTCGAGTCGAGCAACAAAATTTTTTAATGAACACGAGTTGAGTATTATCCAACTCATGATCGACTTACTCGATAAGCACTCCTACACATTATAATCGTAGGACCATTTATGTATTTTATCATATTTTTTTACTATCATTAATTATACAAATCTTAAACTAATAGTGGGTCATTGAGCTTTTTATCTCTTTTTTCTCTTTAATAAAGTGAATTATATTAACTTTTTTGTCTATTTATTCTTTTCTTCTTCATATGAATAATAATAATAATTTTATTTGTTATTATAGCACTTTTTTTTTACTTTGATATAGCATCTCCATATTCAAATAACATTATTTAGTTATCATATTGATCAATATTTACTTTAAATTTTTGAACCGATTATTAATAATGTCACAACTATCAATGATATGTCGCGTTTGAGTTATAATAATGTTAATTTATCAATAAGTTATAATTGTTATATATATTTTTGTGTTAGTATTGATGGTGTTTATTATTCATCACTGATAATATTTATTTTTATATATCATTTGTTTGAGTTATTTATTTGAATTTTTTATATTTTATATGATTTTTTATCTTTAGAGAATTCACGTGTATTTAATAATTTTAAAAATAAATAAATTAATTTATATTTTTATAGTCTTTAAGTGATTTAAATATTTCTCTTTATATTAATTTAAAATTAACTACCAACAACAAATTAATCTTGTTAGATGAGGTACTAGATATCTTAAATAAAATTAAAGATTTAAATATTAACATCTATAATTAGAACAAATCAAGTTAAAAAAGTCGTCATTTGCTCTATACCAACTCCGAATCGAATATATGTGATTATACGGAAAACATATATATATATATATATATAAACTAATTGCTACTATTATTAAAAAAACTCACCTAACCATATGAGAAGTACGGAAATCAAAGTGCTTCGGATAGTCTACTAATTCAATGATTTTGTCTGTCTTGCATGTTTCATTCAAAGGCAATTATTATGAGAAGACTCTGCTTTGAATAAAAGCTTGTTGTTGACATCATCACCGCCACCGTCTTAACCTAATTATGTGATCATAGTATTAGTAGTTTAATATTTAATAACTGAATGAATATGACAAAACCCTGTTAGCTAACAATATTAAAAAAAGTAATCAACGAGAGTAATAATTGATGTCTAATCCGAATGCTTCCTCCTGGCTCTCTTCAATCTACATCTCCATTTACCCTCCTTGAATTCAAATTGTTCAAATTTTTACTTCGGCGTAGCTGTCAATTTTTATGTGTGGTCATTAACCATGTAATATTCCTCAGTAGTTCCCTCATAAATGCAAAGCAAGGAAGAGGGTACAGCCGACAATGGTGGACATGTTGCTATTAATGAAATCCGGCGCCACAACTTTTGTTTTCAGACCTGAAATTTCCACAAAAATTCAAAATGGGGAAAAATATCAACCATTGTTAAGCTGTGGGGGGCTTTTTTTTATGTGGGTCCTGTGCTTTAGAATGTGGGCAGTGCTCATTCATTTTCATATGACACTAATAAATAACAATGGTTTTATTACTTGTAGGGTTGATGAACACACAAAAGTTCAAAATTTTCTTCCCCTCTCAAGGGAAAAGTTTGAGGAAAGAAAATATCAGTTTCCTTTTCAATTAGTTGTTGCCTATAAAGCATTTTAACAGGAAAAAATTGTTCTCTTGCTTGTGGGGCTTTTGGTTTCTTGAAACATTGTACCTTGATTAAGCTCCCACATAAGGAAGGCAACTAAAACCCAACAATCTTTTGGCTATGATGTAAAAGGGAAAAGAAAAGCTTCCTAATCACAATATTTAGAAATGCCAAAAAAACATACCAAGGTTCGGTTCGTTTTTCACTAAAATGGATCTTAACCGAATCACACATCGTGGGTTTTGAAAAATCGAAACCGAAACTAAATGACACAAAAACCACAGTTTTTGTTGGGTTAGGTTTAACGGTTTTTTATTGTTCACTATTTTTTAAAATTCGACCTCCAAAAATATATATTTAAAATTCAAATCAAATACAAATTTATAAATTCATTTTGAATTTATTATAAAATAAATTCATTTTAACTTAAAGCTTAAATCGAATATAAATTTATAAATTCATTTTGAATTTATTACAAGACAAACTCATTATCTATACTTCTATTGATGATTGTCAGGTATGTCTAACCATAATATAAAGAAATTAAATTATTGATAAACTAGATGTACTGTGTACTAATTGAATTTAATAATTACATTTTGCCTGAATTCTCACTTTCATTATTTATTGTTTTTGACACAATTATGGCTATTATTATTTGGGTTAAACTCAAATTATGCATTCTTTTTTCTTTAACAACTTAAATTATTTTTGGTCGGACTAAATTATTATATCTAATCATTTTAAGTCTTATTATCTTTTTAGTTAGAAAAATATTTACCGACCAATAAGATTTTGACAAGTCATATAAAATTAGGTACTTGCTTTGATCAAATAATAATTTAGAGGCTTAAAGCAAAAAATATTATAGTTTAAAGACTTATTTTGAAAAAAAAATTGTTTAAATACTTAAAGTGATAACATATAATAGTATAAAGACTTAATTTGACCAAAAATAATTTAAATACTTAGAAAAACATCACAATTTGATTTTTCTTAGTTTTAAGTCTTATTGTTTTTTAAAAGAAAATAATTAGTAATTATATTCCAACCAAGATGGGGTTAATCGCTGCTGCATTCTCTTCCTATTTTCTTCAAAAAGCTAAATTTCTCACTCCTGACTTTCCCCCCTCTTTGACGTTTTGGAGAGACAGAGAGTTGGAGTAGTTGAGGCTTGAGATTCTAATTCAAAATAGAAAATATACATATTAAAAATAGTAAATTATAAGTAATTTAATTATTTTTGTTATTTTCTAATTATTGTTTTAAAAATTATATTTAATATTTAAATTTAGTTTCATTTTGATTATTCGTCTAAAAATTTAACTATAATACTGATATTATATATATGATTTTGAAAAAGATAGTTAAGTGATTAAAACGAAATAAAATAATAATTTAAGTACTAAATATATAATTTACCCTAAAAACTATTCTTGCTTTTTTTTCCCCGAAATTTTTGGGAGTTTTCATTTGTCGCGTTTGAGTTGTCCAGTATTCCAATTTCCCACCTAATTTTATTTTACAAATTGCTTCTTCCTTTTCTTTGTAAACCTAACCCCACCCTCTTCCATTCATTGTTCTGCTCTCTTCTTCAAACTGAAGAACTCGGAGAAAAAATGAATCTCTACATTAGTTTTTTCCAGAACAGTTTCTGATCTTCATCAGAAAGAAAAATGGCAGCTGACAAACCAAGCTCTAAAGGCCAAGCATGGTTAGATTTTCACTTTATTTTCATTTCTCATCTTTCACAAAATGTAACCTTTTTTTTTCTTCTTATTTTGATTTACAGGTTCTGTGCCACTGGATTACCAAGTGATATTATCATTGAGGTTGATGATATGACTTTTCATCTCCATAAGGTTAGCATGGTTTTGATTTTTATTTATTTTGGGATTAAAACTAACCCATATTCTGTTTAATGATTTTCCTTTTCCTTTTCTTTTCTTTTAGTTTCCCCTGATATCCAAAAGCCGAAAGCTTGATCAGTTAATAGAAGAGCAAGGTCGGAAATCAGCTACTGCAACCGTTGCCAAACAAAAGCAGCGTGAAACAGAGACTGAAATCGAAGAAGAAACAGAGGAATATCAAGAGCAACAAGATGATGCTGATGAAGAAGGATATCGTTACCGGATATCTCTTCAGGGTTTCCCCGGTGGTTCCGACACTTTTGAAACCGCCGCCAAATTCTGTTACGGCGTTAAAATAGATCTCTCATCCTCCACCATCGTTCCTCTCCGCTGCGCCGCCGAGTTTCTCGAAATGACTGATGAGTACTCGGAGGATAACCTTATTTCCAAAACCGAAAGGTTCCTTTCTCAATCCATTTTTAAAAGCCTTAAAGAATCGATCAAGGCGTTGAAATCATGTGAATCAGTGGTGTCTTTAGCGGAATCTTTAGGCATTGTTCAAAGATTGATTGATTCGATTGCTTCGAGAGCTTCTTCTGTAGACCCAACACTGTTTGGCTGGCCAGTGAATGAAGGAGCGATTGAAGCTAAAGGAGCCTCGACTCAAGCTTTATGGAACGGAATCGAAACTGGTTTGAGAAGAAAAGCTCTAGCTCGAACAAACAATCTAGAGTCGTGGTTTGAAGATCTGGCAATGCTGAGTTTACCGTTGTTTAAACGCTTCATTTTAACGTTGAAAAGGCGAGATCTGAGTCCAGAGGTCATAGAAAGCTGCCTTATGTGTTACGCTAAGAAGTACATTCCAGGAACTTCTCGCTCAAATCGGAAACCGTCATCGTCGTTGGCTGCCGCTATTTCAGAGAGTGAACAGCGAGAGCTTTTGGAGACTATTATCTCGAACCTCCCCTTAGAAAAGACCCGTTCATCAACCGCGATGCGGTTCTTATTCGGTTTGTTACGAACCGCTAATATATTAAACTCATCGGAACCTAGCAAAGCGGCATTGGAGAAGAAGATCGGTTTCCAGCTCGAGCAAGCAACGTTAGACGATCTTTTAATCCCGAGCTATTCGTATCTCAATGAAACGCTCTATGACGTTGATTGTATTGAGAGGATTTTAGGTTATTTTTTGGATGGATTAGAAGAGAGAAGCGCCGCTGGAATAGAAGCCGAAAACGAAGGAAACGACGATAATATCATTAATAGTAGTAGACTGCCTTCATTAATGCTCGTTGGAAAATTAATCGATGGTTACCTTTGCGAGATCGCATCTGACGCCAACTTGAAGCCGGATAAGTTTTATAATCTCGCAATTTCACTTCCTGATCAAGCTAGAAACATCGACGACGGACTTTACAGAGCTGTTGATGTATACCTCAAGGTACTCAAAAGAGATTTAACTTCTTTTGTTTTTTTTTCCAAAAAAGAACATGATTGAAGCTATTTAATTAAGTTTTTTTTTTCCAAAAAAAAATATTTTTTTTCATTATTTTGCAGGCGCATCCTTGGATACCGGAATCGGAGCGGGAAAAAATATGCGGAGTATTAGACTGTCAAAAGCTGACACTAGAAGCATGCACGCACGCTGCACAAAACGAGCGGTTGCCGTTACGTTTGGTAGTCCAAGTGTTGTTCTTCGAGCAGCTGCAGCTACGCCACGCAATTGCCGGCACGTTGTTGGCAGCGGAAGCGGCGCCAATGAATGCGGGGAGGTTGTCGGAGACGAGGAGGGAAGGGGAAGAGGAAGATGAAGAAAGGGTGTCAGAATCACGTGGGGAGGAAGGCAGAAGAAGCAGTAGCAGGTGGAGAGTAGCGTTGAGGGAGAATCAGGTGCTGCGACTGGATATGGATAGCATGAGGACGCGGGTACATCAACTGGAGAGGGAATGTTCCACGATGAAGAAAGGGATCCAGAAGATTGAGAAAGAAGGTCCACGTGGCGGTTGTTGGAGGGGGTCGTTGAATAAAAGGTTTGGGTGTAAGTTCAAGACTCAAGTTTGTGATTCCCACGGATCAACGGTTGCAGAGACACGAAGGGGAAGACATCATCATCAACAATAGAGTTGAGCGACAATGAGGTTGTCTCTTTTTCCTAATTTTCATTTTATTTGGAGAATTTTGTTGATTGAACTTATCTTTTGAGGCAGCGGACAAGTAAATAATGAAAATGACAGGTCCTGTTAGGTTAGTGGAGAAGGGTGACCATTTATTTACTGAAAAGTATTTCAGTTTTGTGCTGCGTGGAAGCATAATGGCGGATCAAACTAAGAGTACAAGACCCTCATCTGTGTTTTCTTTTAAATTCAATCTTTGTGTGACCTTTGAGCTTTTAGTTTATATGTATAGGCTCCATTTCAACCCTAAATTCTGGTCGTACAAAATCAAGATGGTGGTGGTAGGGATTCGAGAGATGTTTGGGTGAGATATGGTTTGAAATCAATGTACTGTGTTCTGCCAAAAGTTACAAGAGTACAATGATAATCAGAACTCAGCGATAGGCATAGTGTTTGAATGCCTCCTTTCTCTTTGTATGGTATGGTTAATAAAGGCTCCAAATTGTGCCGACTTTAGAAAAACATCAAATATGGGATTGGGTGTTTTCTTCTTAAGTTTGGGATGGCCTCAGACGAACACTGATTTATAATTGAATTAAATTATCCTCAAATGTTCGCATAAATAATCGTTTTTTAGCTCCGACATTTTATTTTAGAACAAAATATTTTTTGAGTCGATAAAAATTGTTAGTTAATTAATAATTAACGTATGTGGTAGGTTCATCATCAAAAAAATTAAAATAATTTTAAATATATATTTATAAGTTTATATGTAATTAATTATAATGTTTCACACATGGACTTACTTCGTCTGTATAAAACATTGACAGTTTTCAACAAACAATTTTCATTGACGGGAGATTTTGCTCCAAAATGAAATGATAGGAACTAGAATGTTCCAAAAAAAAAAAAAAGTAAAGTAACCATTTACAACGTTGAGGGGCAATTTTCTTATTATGCCATTGAATTAAGAGTAAACTATAGCCACGGTCGTTGAAGTTAGAGTAATTTTTTATTTTGGTCACTTAAATTACAAGAGTTAAGTTATAGTCACAACCATTATTGATAAACCGCAAAATTGGCAATGTATTAATGCCCATTACAATGATGATATAGCATATTAACAAAAATGTAATATAGTACAGGGGCTAGATCTTTGATGAATCGAGGTTCCACAATGAAGCGATAAAAGACAAAACCTCCTCTTCAGATGGTGGTGGCACGGAACTGCTTGTTTTTGCTCTTTGATATCCTCCATGAGATGAATGAACTACTTGCAACCACCCAACCAAGAGCACCTACGATAGCACCAAAATATTTGCATAAAACTTCAGTAATGCTGAAACTTAACCAGATTATAAGCATCAGCTGAGAAAAGGGAACAATACTCTCAGTAAATCAATGAGATTGCTAATGCAGAACGAAAATTTGACTCAAATAAAATGAGATACTTAGAAGTATTAGGTTTGAGCACCAACAATGATAAGGTATTTGTACATTTATTGTCAAATGGTTGAGAGGCTTTAGAATAGATACTATCACTTGTAATCACTCTAGATTAATAAAAAAAATAGATACTTAAACTACAAAATTTAATTAAAAGCCTATGCAATCCAATACCTATCAGCCAATCAAACAAAAGTACAGAAAATTTAACTAATCCATGTACCTGATTACATTTTTTCTCTGGAGTTCTATAGTTTTCAAATTATAATTAAAAGGGTCATTTGTCAAAGGATTAGATTTGTGTTTAAGTAATAGTTTAGAGACCAAATTAGATGTTATAATTTTTCTTAGCGTGCCACATTGTAATATACAATTAGACAATAATGACAGAGTGATCATATTACAACTGATCAATAACGCTAGTGGTCATAATATAACTTTTGAAAATTTAGTGGTTAAAAACTTAATTAAACTTTAGTGACTATGAGTGTAATTTACCCTCAAGTTAGAAAAATGTAAATTAAGGCTCTTTAAGCTGTGCCATTAAAAGTGCCACGTGTTTGTATAAGAACCAGCACGAAATTCCTTTCATTTTGTAGTAAAATATAAATATAGGTGATATTTAATTAAATATGAAATTAAAGTCATCTAATTTCATTTTTTTTTCAATTTTCAATCTATACTGCGGAGGTTTTCCATCCAATCTTTGAACAGTATTAGGCTAGCAGAATACGAATAATTAGATCTCATAATTGGGCCCTCAAAGACTTTGTTTTGGGATAATTGTTTGGGGCTTAAACCCATCAAAGTTAGCTTAGATCTAAACCCAACCCAATGGCAATGGGCTGAAGATTCAAACAAACTAATTCTAACCATAAATCATTTCGCCTATAAAATGAAAGTTGCGATGGTCATCAAAGCATTCTTCTACTCTTTTCTCCCCGAATTAAAAAAATGCTAGGAAGCGCGAAGCGAGGTTTCTTTGTGTGTTTTCGTCCATGGTGAGGTAATTGTGGTTTAATCGATGTATAAAAAGAGGGTTTATCGGTGATGATTTCAATACGATGACGAGTCTGATGTTTTTCCATTCTTTCAAATCGTGACGACAAATCGAGGCATTTGTTTGAGAGAAATTCACAATTTTATATTAAAAACTCCAAATAAATAATTATTTAAAGAAATAGGACCATCTAGAAATTATTTGGAAAATAACCCCAATAACCCAAAAAACCGTCCACATCGGACGATCTTGCGACCTACAAACTAAGTGTTAAATCCTTGCACCCTCCAACACGCGAGATACATCCGATGTAGGCACACTTTCCAGGTAAGCTAATAAAACAATTAGATAAAATTACCTCGCGCATTGTGAAGCACAAGATTGCCTTTATTATGTGCACGTGCTTTATGAAGCCTTCATTCCACTGCTCAAATCAAATCCACGTGTTACGGTTACGATCTTTATTGCTTCAGTTATATCGTTATACGGGTGCACAGTTTACTACCACAAAGCATGTTATGCAAGGTATCGGAGCCAACAAAAAACGTTCGGCCAATGGGAGGAATCATACAATGAATTGCGACCATGGCTTAAACTGATGCAGAAACACATTCTGGGAACAATTGTGAAATTGGAAACAATCCCGATGTTCGAAAATGATCATGTTGTACAAGGTGTCTTCTAATTCTACCGGCTCTTTTGGACTTTCCCGCAATGCATTAATGCATTATGACACTGCAAGCTGATTGTTCAAATCGACGACACTTGGTTATATGGTATATACACTCAAATAATGTTATTGATAGTTTCACAAGACGACAACAGAAAAACTATTTCGATCGCCTTCCCAATTGTCAATAAGGAAGATATCGACTCTTGGGAATTCTTTCTTACGAACTTACAAACATATGTTCTATCACATGTGATGCATGATAGAGATATGTGATTTGTCTTATTTTTTTACAGAGGCATTGGTATCAACTACGCACTCCAGCATATGTGCTCGTCTTGCCAACCCTCCAATATTTATTAGTAGTATTGTTTACGACATATTGCCGCAAACTATTTGCAGAAGTTCAAGAGTCAAGATGAGTGTCTAATGGTGCTTTGAATGGGTACATCTTTTACCCTTTTCGGTTTACCATATCTTTACAAAAATTATTTCAAATTAATTGTTCCACTTTTTATTGATAGGTTACACACAGTTCGTACGTGAGTTTGAGGACCTGATACAGGAACTGAGACATATGAATTCTAAGGGCTTCAACTACCTTTTTAGAATCCCAAAGGATAAATGACTTCGATAATTTGATAGGGTAGACGGTACGGTCACATGACAATGAACTTGACTGAAGTAATAAATTCATCACTGAAGGAAGTGCGCCATATGCCTATCACGTCCATTGTCAAAGAGACATATTATCGACTGACAACCCTTTTCGTGACCTTAGGAAGGCAAACAGTTGGTTGGATGGTTGGTGGCCACCAAATCCACCCAGACCTCCTCAAAAATTGCAAACATTCCAGCAGCATTCCAACGCGATGAGTGTCATATTCTTCTCTCGTGAAATGTCATTATTCCATGTATCAGAATTTGTGAGGCCATTGGAAGGCATACAATACAACACATACGTGGTTAATTTACGAGAGAAAACATGCGAGTGTAGATTCTTCCAAACTTTCAAATATTCGTGTGCGCACACCATTGTTGTTGCTGCTTATGTTCAGATACCCTACATGAGATTCGTTAATCGAGTTTACTTACTTGAAACTATATTCAAAGTTTATGAATACGAGTTCCCTCCCATTGGAAATGAATGTGATTCGGATGAAACTGATGATGAACCTACAATACGGCCAAATTATGCACTATGAAAGAAAAAAAAATCGGTTGTCCACGGTGAACCCAAATTTTTGAGTTAATCGATTGACTGAATTGGCCAAGAGGGGGGTGAATTGGCAATAAAAAGTTTGGTGGAAGCTTTTGCAGAAAATTGAAAGCATTTGTACAACGATTTAGAGTGGTTCGACTTTCTCAACCAAAGTCTATGTCCAATACCTTAGCTATCCACACTAAGGATTTTCCACAAATTCACTAATTTGTCTTTCTTTTGAGGACAACGAGTAACCTTACAAACCCTCAAGAATTAGACCCCAAATTCTTGAGAACACTCTCTCCCAAAGAGAACAATACAACACAATTCTAGAACAAAGAAAAGAACACTCAAGAATGAATACAATTGAGCACAATAAGTGTTCTTGAAAGCAAAATGAATATTGAATGAAAAATATGCTTGAAATGCTCAAACTTAAGGTTTGATGCTTTCTCTTTGATTCTCTATTGATTCTAGTTGCTTGATGTTTCATGTTATTGATCAATGCCTTCTAAGCTTGTTTAAATACAACTTCAAATGATTATGAACGTTGGGGATGCTTAATGGAGTCAATATAGCCGTTTAAGTGTGAAAACAGTTAATTAAAACAGTTGGGAGCGTTAGTGCATCGGTGCATACCCATGGTGCATCAGTGTAAAATTCAAATATTTTGACCGTTGGACCCTTAGTGCATCGGTGCACTAAGAGTGTTTCGATGCAGCATTCGATGTTTCAAAATAGCCAGAGTGCATCGATGCATTGCTGGTGTATCGATGCATCAAATGCATTCGATGATTTCATAAAATCCTCAGTGCATCAGTGCATGGTATGTGCATCGATGCATGAAATGCATTCGATGTTCAATTTAACTCATGGTGCATCGGTGCATGGATTGGTGCATCGGTGCATCACTCTGAAAAATTGATATTAGGCTTGATTTTGGTTCAAAATACTTTGTGAAATTTGTTTCAAAAATATATTAAGTATAAAACACAATTTTACACATTTAGTAAGGTTTGAAATTGATCTTAAAAGACTTGGAGTAATAATTTGATATTCAATTAATTAAATCGAATATACTTATAAAATTATTTGTAAAATCTTAAAATTCATTTAAATTTAATTTGTTATATCGAAACACAAAATGTTTTCAACAATCTCCCCCTTTTTGATATAACAAAACATTTGTGTTATTTTA